TCCTCCTCCTCCTCCTCCTCCTCCTCCTCCTCCTCCTCCTCCTCCTCCTCCTCCTCCTCCTCCTCCTCCTGAGACGGCGCGGCCCTGGGACTCCTCCCCGAGCTCGGCGCCCTGGCCAGACCTTCGGGGCGGATCCAGCCGGGCCCCAGACGCCCCCCACAAGAGGGGCCTCGAGCCTCGGACCCGGACATCCGCCGACATGCTTCTTGTTCGGCCCGCTGCCCCCGAGCTCTCGGACCCCCCCTTTCAGGAGGGGAAAAAACACACAGACACAATGAATCGTCGATTCCCCAGAAAATATGTGAAAATATGGGCAGTGGGGGGGAGGACGAAAACCCAGAAAATATGGGAACATATGGGGACTAGTTCTATTTGTGTGTATTTATTTGTGTGTCTCAGAGCGTGAATTACCTACCCCGCTTTCGCTCCCAGGCAAAACCAAGTCATACCACGCGCCTCCTCGTCAAGCGGCCTGACCAGTACAGGCCGTAGTTTGGCATCGTTTGGTATCTCTTGGAAGCGAGGGTGGTCAAAAGCGAGGTAGGTTTGTTTCCCCCCTAGTGTCCTGGGGCCCCTTCAATGATTTTGTTCGACCCGCTGCCCCGGAGCTCTCGGACCCGCCCCCCCCCCCTTCCCCGGGGGCAGCGCTGCGTCCCATGCAGACCCGTCCCTGGCGGCCCCCCGGGGCCCGACGGCGCCCCCTCTCCAGAGGCCGAGCTCGAGGAAGACGCCCACGAGTGGGCTCCTCCTCCTCCTCCTCCTCCTCCTCCTCCTCATCCTCCTCCTCATCATTCATCATCATCCATCTCATCATCATCATCAGCAGCATCATCATCATCATCAATCATCATCACATATCATCATCATCATCATCATCATCATCATCATCATCGTCGTCATCATCATCGTCCCCCTTCTCCCCCTCCATCCTTCCCCCTCCTGCTCGTCATCCTTCTCTTCCTCCTCCCCCTCCTTCTCCTTCTCCTGCTTTCTCCTCCTTCTCCTTCTCTTCCTCAGCCTCCTCCACCTCCTTCTCCTCCTCACTCCTGACACGTCGGTCGTCGAGCGTAGGTATCCTCGGACTCCCAGATCCCAATCTACTTCTGGCGCCTTCCTACTTTCGGGGGCGGAAAAGAGGGGGGTGATGACTAGGGGGGGGGATATCATGGCGGGGGGCATGATATTTCCTCAGATTTCATGGCGCCTCGTCTTATTTCATTACGTCCCTGGCCCCCCCGCTGGGCCGCGCACATGCCGCCGGTCTTGATTTGCATGGCGCCTCGTCTTATTTCATTACGTCCCTGGCCCCCCCGCTGGGCCGCGCACATGCCGCCGGTCTTGATTTGCACCCCCCCCTCTTGGACACCCCCCTCTTGGCCGCTCCCGATACTTCCAGAGCCGATTTGTTTTTGCTGTGTTTCGTTATGCTCGGAGAGGGCCTGAACCCAACCTGCCTTGTCCGCCCTCCTGCTTCACGCGTTTACCGACTTCTTCCGACCGGCGCGTGATACCGTCCGAGGCCTGGGAGCTTCGAACATCCTGACGCTTGGAAGCCCTCCCCCCCCAAAAAAACCAGAGATCCAGCGCTGCGAAACAATGCAGCATCGCGAAAGATCACGACCGGAGCCGCAGACCCCACCTGTCTGCCGCGTCCTTCGAGCCGGATGCATCGCGGAAGATGCAACGCCTCGGGAGGCGTCGAGCATCCTCGAGGTCCTCGAACCTTTACATCCGCCGTCGTGATGTTTTCGGTGCTGGGCCCCCAGAAGTCCCGACCCTGTCCTCAAGGGCCGCTGGCGTTTCCTCCCGAGTCGTTTTTGGACGGTCTTGGGGCCCAGCAAGGGCCCCCAGAGGCCGCCAGCGGCCAGAAGCTTCTGCCGTGATCTCTGCTCACGACGCGAGCATGTCTGGGACCTCGAACACCCTTGAGATCTGACGCTGCTAAAGAAAATAGAGCATCGCAAGAAATTACGACTGCAGCCCTGGACTCCGCCTTCTCATGCCACCTTGCGAGCCGGATCGCCCTGCAAGGGTTCCCGGGGGCCCGAAAAGGGGCGAAATCGCCAGTTGTGCAAAGATTGGCCAGATCTCGGGAGCCCCCGGGCCTCGAATAATTCCCTACTTAATGTATGCAACCACGTGCACATGAGGATGCAAATGATCACGAGATGGAGTTGAGCACTCAGCGCCTGAGGCCGAACTGGGTCATTGAGCGTCTCTTGGGGCATGCCGCACACTGCATGGGTGCAGAGGCGCTGGAGCCGCACTCTGAGCCACTACCTTGAGCCTCTAAAACGACGCGAAGATCGGGACAAAATCGGATCGGGATAACTCGAAATCTCTGAGAATCGGCGGGTTTGGAGGATGCATTGGGCGCCGCGGCCGCTCCAGAGCGTTCCGGAACGCTCGGAGAGCGCTCCGGAACGCTCTGGAGCGATTTATCCCGATCCTAGCCCTGTTTTAAGGGGCCTCGGGCGGCCCAGGCTGCGGGTTCGGGGGCGGAGAAGGCACGCAGGCACCTGCTGCTGGGCTTCGGGGGGTGAGGTCCTCCTCCTCCTCCTCCTCCTCCTCCTCCTCCTCCTCCTCCTCCTCCTCCTCCTCCTCCTCCTCCTCCTCCTTTTTAGCCTCACTCTGCATCCCCCCCGCCGCCCCCCCCTCCCCCAGCGGCGCCGCGGGCGCGGAGCCGGCGGCAGGCAGCCGCGCGGCCTGGCCCGCGGCGGGGCCCGC